CGAGATGGATCTCGGCTTTTAAGTTTGCATCATATGGAATGCTATCGAACAACTGGCCAGGAAGTCGATGTAAAGACAAGGAGTTCGGTCCCTTGTGATTTCGAACTAACACTTAGTCATATCTTGACTTAATAAAATTTTATTGATGTTATAGCTGGACTCGGTAACGAGCTGCCTACGTACCCTTTAAAGGGATCAAGCCATTCGTAGTTCTAAGTACAAAAGGGGGTTTTTGCTCCGACTAAGTAGTTCGGAGGCTTTTTTTTTTTTTTTTTTTTTTTTTTTTTTTTTTTAGTTCTTCGAAGCGAACTAATAGTAGTATCGTTTGAGATGCATCGAGTTCCAAGATCGCGGGATCGGAGTTCCGTCTAACTTCATGAGTTGATAAACGCCGGGCTTAACAACCTTCATAATCTGATATGGTCCTTCCCAGTTCGCGCCAAGTTTTCCTGCATTCTTCTCCTCGGTGTTTTGATAGACTTTACGAAGTACGAGGTTGCCGTCTTCGAAGTGACGGCCCTTAACTTTTTTATTGTAGTAACGAGCTGCAAGTTGTTGGTAATTCTGTATCCGGAGTAGTGCTCGTTCGCGATGTTCTTCGACTAAGTCAAGTGCGTCGATCATCATATTGTCATTTGCCTCGGGTTGCTGGGTAAGCATAGTTCGGCGAATGCTTGGGACGTTAAGTTCGGCAGGACACATAGCTTCTGCGCCATACGCAAGGAAGAAAGGTGACTGACCGGTTGAACGTCGCGGTGTGGTTCGATGAGACCACAGGACGCCGTCGAGTTCGTCTGCCCACGTTCCCTTAGCGATATCGAGTCGTTTCTTCAGTCCGTCAATGATGGTCTTGTTCGTGGCTTCGGCTTGTCCGTTGCCTTGCGGATAACGCGGGGTAGAGAAACTTAGTCGGATTTTCCACTTGGCGCAAAAATCTTGGAAAATTATCGAAGTGAACTGGGTTCCATTATCCGTAATGATCTCGTACGGAACTCCGTGTCGACAGATGATGAATTTCCAGACGAACTTCTTGACGTCGATTCCATGGATCTCGGGGTATGCTTCGGCTTCGACCCATTTAGTGAAGTAATCTGTGACGACGAGGACGTACTGCTTCTGGGTTGTAGATCGGCGGAAAGGACCGATGATGTCCATTGCCCAGCGCATGAAAGGATATGGTGCAGTCGAGGTCATCAGGAGCTCGGTAGGAAGATTTATCATCGGACCATGACGTTGGCACTTCTCGCAACGTGCCGTGTACTTCTCGCAATCAGAGAGCATAGTAGGCCAGTAATAGCCGGCTTTCTTGATCTTAAATGCCAAGGACCGAGCTCCGGAATGATTTCCTCCTTCTCCTTCGTGAATCTTTTGCATTACTTCCGCGATGTCGTTGCCGTGAACACAAGTCAAAAGTACACCAGAAGCGTCCCGTCTGAGGAGAGTACCTTTAATGACCACATACCGGGCTGCGCGAGCCTTAAGGCGTCGAGCTGCCCATTTATCTGCGGGAACCGTTCCATCTCCTATGTATCCCACGATTTCCAGGGACCAATCCTCGGGTTCGTCCTCTTCTCCGGCTTCGATATTGATGGGGACGTGCTGGCCTTCGGACTCGTCCTCGGATTCGGGCTCGTTATCGTTAAGCTCGTCTGTATCGTTTTCGCGATCGGGGATGACCTCTTTAGGTTTCGTCTTTCGGGTGAGGGGTGGAGCACGGTTTGGCTGGGCTTCGTAGTCACGCCGTCTTGTAATGATATTGCAGTTCGGATCGTGCTCGATACTTGGTCGCTCGATTGCTGCAATCGGGATAGTTCGCCGAAGATCAGGATCGGAATTAGTCGCGAGTGCGGCTAAGGCGTCGGCGGAGGCATTCTCGTCTCGAGGTATCTTCGTAAGCTCGAAGGTGGAGAACTCGGAAGCAATATCTTTAAGAACTTTGAGATATGCGTCCATGCGGTTGTTCTTGGCCTCGTATTCGCCGTGAAACTGGTTGGCTACGAGTTGAGAATCGCAATAGGCGTGTACATGCTCGGCGCCGATACTTTTAGCGAGTCGTAGTCCGGCAATCAATGCTTCGTACTCGGCTTCGTTGTTGGATGCTGGGAAGCCGAGCCGAAATGACTGCTCGATTACTTCTCCTTCGGGTGACTTGAGACGTATTCCAACTCCGGATCCTTTATGGGATGATGAACCGTCGGCGTGAAGAATCCAAGGTTGTACGACCGGATTGTCTTCGACGAGCTCTGGTGGGAGTTCGACCAAGAAGTCTGCTAGGACCTGAGACTTCGTTGCCGTTCTGTTCCGATATTCGATGTCATATTCACTAAGTTCGATAGCCCACTTAGCGAGTCGTCCGGACTGACTTGGGCTGTGAAGGATAGTGCGAAGAGGGTGATCGGTCAAGACCACGATTGCATGAGACTGGAAGTACGGGCGCAGTTTCCGTGCAGAAATAACCACGGCGAAGGCGAACTTCTCCAAAGTCGGATAACGATACTCCGATCCGTCGAGGGACTTGCTTGTGTAGAAAATTGGTTTTTGTTCGCCGCGATCTTCTCGAACAAGAACGCTGCTAACTGCGAACTCCGAAATCGCGATGTAAGATAAAGTGTCTCGCCGGTTTCTGGTTTGGACAGGACTGGCGGAGTGGACAGATATTCCTTTAGCTCGGCGAAGGCTTCTTCACACTTCTCGTTCCATTCGAGGTGCTTGTTACCACGGAGAAGTTGGTAAAAGGGCAAGCACTTGTCCGTTGATCTAGATATGAATCTGTTAAGCGCTGCAATACGTCCAGTAAGTCGCTGAACTTCGCGTCTGGTTGTCGGCGAGGGGAGATCGAGAATAGCGGCGATCTGCTTTGGATTAGCTTCGATGCCTCGCCGTGTGACGATATATCCGAGGAATTCTCCAGATGTTACGCCGAACGTACACTTAGTTGGGTTAAGCTTCATACCATATTGGTTCAAGATATCAAAGCATGTGCGAAGATGGCCGACGTGCTCGGAAGCGATGAGTGACTTTACGAGCATATCGTCGATGTAGACTTCCATAGTTCGTCCGAGCTGGCTCGCGAACATCCGGTTTACCAGTCGTTGGTACGTTGCTCCAGCATTCTTCAGGCCGAATGGCATGACCTTGTAGCAATATATGCCACGGTCCGTGATGAAGGATGTCTTCTCTCGGTCCTGCGGATGCATGAGAATCTGATTGTATCCAGAGAACGCATCCATGAATGAGAGTAGTTCGTTTCCGGCAGTCGCTTCCACAAGGCGATCGATATGAGGTAATGGAAAGCTATCTTTCGGACACGCTTTATTGAGGTCGGTGAAGTCGACGCAAATTCTCCATTTACCATTCTTCTTTTTCACGACCACAGGGTTTGCCAACCAATCTGGATACTTAACTTCGGTGATAGATCCAGCTTTGAGTAAGCGCTCGACCTCGTCATTCATGGCTTGCGCTTTCTCTGGCCCGAGCTTTCGGCGTTTCTGTTTGATAGGCTTGTATGTCGGATCGATATTGAGCTCGTGGCACGCGATCTGCGGGTCAATCCCGGGCATGTCTTCTACCGACCAAGCGAAGGTTGATGTATGCTGTTTCAGGAAACGAATGAGTGGTTCACGGATGATTGGGTCGAGCTCGGCACCAATTCCAACTTGACGCTCTGGCCTGAGTTCGTCAATGCTAACTTGAACGATTGATTCCTGCTTAGGCTTTGTCTTTTGGACGATGAGCTTGTCAGTTGGTCCGAACGAATTAATGACGCAAGTTTGGTTGGCCGAGTGGAGTCTGCACTCATTTATGTAGCACGATCGAGCAACGGCTTGGTCTCCACGGAGTGTGTACACACCGTCCGGGGTCGGGAACTTCAAGCATTGATGGTACGTCGAAGCGACCGCTTTCATTGCGTGCAGCCATGGCGTACCGAGAATAGCGTTGTAGATTGCCGGTTTGTCGAGGATAAGGAACTGGATCATCTTTGCGATTCCGCCGACGTAGATTGGGATTTTGACAGTGCCGATCGTCATACAACGCTCTCCATCAAATCCGGTGAGTGGCTCGATGAACGGATCAATCCTATCTGACGCCAACTCAAGCTGGTCAAGTGCTTCCTTGAAGATAACGTTGACCGAACTGCCAGTATCGATCAGAATGCGGCTAACTTCGACGTCGTCGAGGAGCAGATCGACAACGAGAGCGTCATTATGCGGTTTGTGAATTCCGATTGTGTCAGCCTCGGTAAAGACCAAGGGCGCTCCCTTCGGAGGATCCTGTGGGGTTTTTGGTGTGCTAGCGGCTTGTTTGCTGTATTCTTTGATGGCTCGAACGGAATAACTGCAAGCTTCGATGGCCCCCATTATCATGTTGATACGTTTTCGCGCCTTAGGAGCACGATTCTCCGGAGCTCGATCATCGCGATTCCGTTTCTATTGCTCGGGCAACGCAGGCGGATTCGGTGGCGGTGGTGGTAGTGTCGGTAAAGCCGGTGGAGTTGGTGGATCTTTGGCAAGTGCTTTCTCGAGATGTTCGTTGTTCGGTCGGGGCATCGAGAGCTGCCCACCGCTCTTAGGCGTATTTGAGCGTCGGAGTTCGTCGACCGAGATCGGCTCCTTGCGATACAAGCCGAGTAGATATTCTTGCAAATGCCTGCATTCTTCGGTGCTGTGGCCCCTACGGTTATGGAATTCGCAGAATAACGACTCGTCTTGGTCTTCTTCACCGCGGACCCATTTATTATTCCACTGCTTGCTTGGTTGTTGGATTGCGTTAGCATAGAGTTTCTTGCGGTTCTCGTATCCTCGACCGTATCCCGACTGCGGCTCGTTAGTCGCGGGTTTCAGACGTTCGGGTTGTTTTGTTGAGTGACTTTGCTCGTACGCAGCTTCTTCTTCTTCTTCAGCAATGTAAGTATTAGCTCGGTGTAATGCATCTTCTAACGTCTGCGGTGGGTTGTGCGTGATCGCGCTTCGGAAACTGGTCTTTATCCGAGCTCCTTTTTGAAGGCATAAGAGAGCGGCTTCGTCGCTAATTGTGCAGTTGGCGACGATTTCCTTGAAGCGCTGGATGAAGTCGCGAAGGCTCTCGCTTGGTCCTTGAGCTATCTGCCAGAGCTCGGAATTCTTGGTATTCTGTCCAATGAACATGGAGAAGTGCTTGACGAAGGCTGTCGTTAACTCTTTGTAGCTGTCGATTGAATTGGCTTCGAGCCGTGAGAACCAGTCAGGAGCTACTCCTCCTAGACTTTCCACAATAGTTGCATTGAACCCCGTCTCTTTCTTCGGCAGACTTAAACTGGTATCGGTTCATGCAGATGCCGAACGATGTCAGGAAGTGTCGAGGGTCAGAGTTGCCCTCGTAGATTTTCATCTTCAGTTTCTCCATGTGCTTGACCGGCGTCCCTCCGATATGCGATGTGAAAGGAGTCTTCTGTGTTTCCTGAATGACGCGCTCGATCTCCGGAGCCGCGCTTGTGGCTTGATGTATTTTTGAGGTGATATCGCGAAGCTGTGCTTTCATTTCTTCGAACTCGGCGTCTCGGCTTGAATCCGGTGCTGGTGGGTTTGCTGACCCGACCGCGGCAGACCTCATAGTTCCGGTTGGATCTCCGTCGGCATTGAGATCGTCAATGATGTTCCGAACTCGGAGAGGAGTTCGTGTCTGACTGAGTTCGGCGATCTGTGCCGCCATCTGACTGAAACGTTCCTCGCTCCTTTTGTTGATGGCTTCGAACTGAGCAGTGAACATTTGGAGTAACAGGTCGGTTACGGATGCGGGAGTTTGCTCGGCAGCAGTTCCGGTGTTTTCCCCAGGAGTTCCTCCCGTTTGTCCTGTTTGGGCGTCGATGTTATTTTCCCTGAGAGGGTTTTGTTCTTCGTGAACGTCGGATTGGTCTGCCATCGCTGATTCAATCTTTCCGAAGTCCGATCAATAATCTGAGATATCTGTTTAAAGGCCCCCTACCTGGCGCGCCAATTGTTGATATGTGAATATCGACAAGGGACAAAACAGTAATTTAGATCGGAAGCTCGGCTTTATTAGATTGAATCGAGTGAAATACAACTGAGTTCGGTTATTCCAATAGGCAATAACGAACTAAGACTTAATGTGACTAAGAAGCTATCGAGTTCTCAGTCTTTAAGTCTTCTTGGGAATAACTTGTGTCCTCTCATGTCGATTCGTCTCCCTTTATATATATCTCATAAGTCGGTCTTCAAGCACGCCTTAGACGATATGGGATCGAGAGGAGTTTCCTTTTCTCTCCAAAGTTTCCTTTTTCCTTCAGGAAACTTTCCTGTTTCGGCCGAGCTCGAGGAAACCTTCTGTTCCTTTGAGAGGTTTCCCACCGACCTCGGTCTAATGGGCTATCTTCGGCCCATCTTCGCTCGGCCCATCTTCTCTCGGTACATCCCTTCGTAAACCAGGCTTACGGTTCGCCGATCTCAGTTTGTACCGGAGAAAACCGGGGTGCGGTTTTCACCTCCAACAAGACTCCATGATGGTCACATTTGCAGTTACATAGTGAAATTGATTATTTTGAGACGGTAGAACTGAAAAAGAGAAGGATACCTTACTATAATAGCACAGACATTATAGATTAAAAATTTTGTGAACCAAGTTTGTATTAGACCAAATTCACCGTATTGTTATGGGAATATTTACAAATTTGCACTTTTACATATGTATTTTTTTTATCAAAAGGATACTTACCCATAGTCAAAAATTAAATAATCTTCCTAATTGAGTAATATAGGAACTACCAGCCCTTTTCAAATATGATCCTAATTCTGTAAATTAGTGATACCACAAAACGTGGGTAGTTCCTGTATTACTCAATTGATATATGATATGATTTTCTGTTCTATTTGCTAGATGTCTAAAAACAAAGAACATGCAAATTGATACAAAAGATCTTATGTATGTATGAACTGAAGATGAAATCGATATAATAGATCATACATGACGAAGATGTAGATAGGAGTCAAAGAAAGAAAGGTAGGTGTCGTGAAGTCTCAAAGAAAGTCAAATGCAATTAGGCCATCATGCCCATCTATGTACTAACGAAGCATCAAAATAAAATAAAATAAAAGGTAGATTAATATAGTTGTCTAAGGTATAAAGCTAGAAAGTTACATTTGTGACGAAAAACTCCATTATCATAATTTCTTTCTTCTTTTTTTTTTGTTGTCTATTTTTTAGATTTTTAATTGTTATCACTTCGATGTATATGGTTAAGTCATCCAATCTGTTGGAAGTATAAACGGGTGTATTATATATAAGCTTATAATTAGAGTTTAAAATATTTTATTTTCCATAAATTAACATTAAACTTTCTTTATTAATAAATATTAGAAAGATTTCAACTTGATTAAAAAAGTTGCTGATTGCATATTATTTTTAACAGAAAGCCTACGGGTTTTTGAAGAGAAAAAAAAAACAAATTAAACAGAATAATTCGTATTAAAAATTGATTTTTATTTTATATTATTTATATTTCCAATGTTTAAGTTGAAATCCGTATAATAACAGTAATAACCCAGTAACTTTAATAGTTAATACAAACTATTTGATTATATAACATAGTTAAAAAACATGTTATATTGTATAACTTTTTTATAACCACTATTGACTTTTTTGTAGTAGCCAAAATATTAAGACTCTCGGCATTTAAGTATAGTTTTGTAAAAATATGAATACTAGAATTTATTATATTACAAACATTAGCCAATTTCATAATATAATATACTAAATACAAAAATTTCATTTAGTATTTTTTTTTTTGTGCAACCAGTTACTTCGATTAATCAAACGAAACGAAAGATGCGTGAACCGCATACAAAGAGTTATTCCCGAAGGAAGCAGCAAAGACATAAAATAAACTTATGATAAACTTGATAGAAGTGAAAACAAATCTTCTGGTGAGGAGTGGAATCCTCGAGAATACCACGAAGTTCGAAGTCACAAAAGCCTTAGATGATGGCTCAACCAAATGGAAGGAGTCGGATTTTACCGAGATTATCCTTAATTCTTCAGAGATAGCTTGAGAAAGATCGTCTGCCACTAAAATGGAAATGACGAGTTCAAGGCGTTCAAAGCCTTGGGATAAAGACACCATATGCGAAAACACCTTGGATTTACTCAAATGATCCTGAATTTGGCAAATAAACTTTGTGAAAGATTTATGGACAGGTACGGATACCACAAGCAAAGCTGCTTTGGATTTACACAAAATACCTTCCTGCCGTTCAAGCAAGACGACATGGATGCCATTAAAGGCCAAAAACGTGGGAATGCCGGAGAAAACAGGCTTCAGAACATAACTAACTATATCGGGATTCCACAAGATCAAAATCCTTCTCTCAACAAGCAGTCCATTTCTTACCAAAGAAAAAGAAGCAGAGAGTGAGCAAAGGGGAACATGGAAGACCGTCTCAGTAAAGTAGTACAATGCTCTGGAAGATGCAGACATGGAAGCAGGACCGGCCGACTTCGTTACTAGATAAACTTTTGATAGCTTGTAAGCAGTTTGTCCTCGAAACTGTCTAAGATTGATCACAAGCAGATATAGCGAAGAAGATGACAAATCTAGCGAATGGAGGCAAGATTGAAAGCTGGCAATAGAGGAGAGAGGTGAGATGGCGTGTCGGAGAGAGGGTGCAGCGGTGAAACGCAGATGCAGAGATGGTGGGACTGAGCTGGTGTGACGTGACGGCAGAGCGAGCATAAATCAAA